GGGATCCAGGTACCATCACCAGGATGCCAACACCCAACAAGGAACCATGCCGGGTATCACATAGGGATCCAGGTACCATCACCAGGATGCCAACACCCAACAAGGGACCATGCCGGGTATCACATAGGGATCCAGGTACCATCAGCGGGATGCCAACACCCAACGAGGGACCATGACACCGTGCCGGGTATCACATAGGGATCCAGGTACCATCACCGGGATGCCAACACCCAACAAGGAACCCCAAGACCGTGCCAGGTACCACATAGGGATCTGGGCACCGGCACCGGGATGCCAACACCCAGTGAGGGACCCTGACACCATGCCGGGTACCACGTTGGGATCTAGGTACCATCACCAGGATGCCAACACCCAATGAGGGACCATGCCAGGTACCACGTAGGGATCCAGGTACCATCACCAGGATGCCAACATCCAACAAGGGACCATGCCGGGTATCACATAGGGATCCAGGTACCATCACCGGGATGCCAACACCCAACGAGGGACTGTGCCGGGTACCACGTCGGGATCCAGGTACCATCACCAGGATGCCACCACCGTCACCGGCACCCACCGAGCTCCCCCAACCCATGCCCACCTGCCAGACGCTTCATCCAGGAGGCCTCGTCGATGCCCAGGTTGTTGACCACGATGCGCAGGATGTTGCCCAGGAGGGCGTTGAGGTGCTGCGCGGTGACCGCGGTGGCCCAGGGCCCCTGGGGCAGCGTGTCGGGGCCGCGCTCCCACCAGCGCGGCAGGTAGTTGCAGAGCATGGGCAGCGTCACCTCGATGACGTGGGGCATCTCGGTGTAGCGGGCGCCCGACTCCGCCAGGCCCCCGATGTCCCGCATGAGGCGCTCCAGGTCCGGGATGTCCGGGCACATCTCCTCCACCCGGCTGGGCAGCCCCAGGACTGCGGGGACACGGGGCTAGCGCCGTGGGGACACCCCGAAGGGGAGTGCCGGGGGACCCCAAAGCTGGGGCAAGCGAGGGGCATGCGGGACGTGGGCGTAAGGGGAGGGTATCGAGGATGTGGAGGTGGCCCAGAGCTGGGGGGCACTGGGAACGCTAAGGAACTGGGGACGTTGAGGGGCATTGGGGACACGGAGGTGCCCAAGGAACTGGGCTAAGGAACTGGGGACATTGAGGGGCACTGGGG